GTACCACTCACGGAGCTGCTGGGGCGGGGGGATGTCCCGCGAACGCTGCTGCTGCTGCTGCTGCTGCTGCTGCTGCTGCTGCTGCTGACGCTGGCCACCACTAGGGCCGCTACGCTGCGGGGCACCTCCCCGACCAGCTCCACCCCCTCCGCCACCGCTGCCTCCACCTCCACCACCACCGCTGCCTCCGCTCCCACCGATGCCGCCACCACCGCCTCCTCCTCCGCTGCTGCCACCGCCACCACCGCCCCCGCCACCACTCCCACCGTCACCCCCACTCCCTCCTCCGCCTCCACCGCCTCCTCTACCGCCCCCGCCAGCTCCACCCGCGCCCTTGCCCCCCTTGCCCCTGCCAGGGCGGCGTCTCCCGCTAGGGGCAGACGCCGCGCAGACCGACTCAAGACCAAGCAGGTCGGCAGCAGCAGCAGAGGCAACAGAGGGCAGCAGGGGGGAAGGAGAGCACCCCTCAAAGATGGGGGTGCGAGGGTCACCACGAGAGGCTCCTACAGCGACGATGCTCTTCTCCGCCGCCAGGAGGGACTTCTCGAGGAGGTCGACAGTGAGAGTGGTGGGACAGACCGAGAGGTAGTGGTCCCTGACTACGCGAAGGGAATCAGGGAGGCGTGTGACTATGTAATAGAGAGTGATGTACATGGGGGGGGGGTTCTTGGCGCAGAACTCAGCAGGAAGGGCGGCGCGGGTAGCGAGTGTCACTAGTGCGGAGGTGCGTAATGAGGTCAGCGACAGTGGGAAAGGCAGTAAGGTCAGGAAAGAGGTACGGTAGCATGAGGCGGCTCAGGGCAGCAGTGGCAGGGGAAGAGTAGCGCGCAACTACAGCGTCGTACAAGGTCTGAGCACTCTTGTACTGACTAAAGTGCGCGCGCTCAGTGGTAGGCAGGTGGCGACGCACAGCAAGACGTGCAGCAGCATCGCGGGTGGCCCACTGAGAGCGAACAGTGGGGTCAGCATCAGTAGCAGGGGCAGGAGAGGCGCCAGAGGTGAGGTCAAAGAGGGAAAGACCGTCCGCCCTATCGCACTGTAAGAACAGCTGCAGGTCGTCGACCCAGACCTCAAAGTCAATGGCTCGACCCTCAGCGTCAAAAGCGAGGACACTAGGGGTAGCCATGACGACGACAGACGAGCAGTGCAAGTAGTAGGGGAAGGGCACGCAGTGACAGTGGGGCTGTGCTCACCGGACAGGGCAGGTCGGGCGGCTCGGCAGTAGGGCGGCTCGGCTGCTCAGCGGCTCGGCGGCAGGGCGGCTCGGCTGCTGGGCGGCTCGGCTGTTGGGCGGCTCGGCGGCAGTGCGGCTCGGCTCCCGGGCGGCTCGGCGGCAGGGCGGCTCGGCTCCCGGGCGGCTCGGCGGCAGGGCGGCTCGGCTCCCGGGCGGCTCGGCGGCAGGGCGGCTCGGCTCCCGGCGGTTCTGCTGCTAGGCGGCTCCTGCAGGTAGGGCGGCGGTAGGGCCGCAGGTAGGGCGGCGGGCGGGCCGTAGGTAGGGCGGTGGGGGGGGCCGTAGGTAGGGCAGCGGGCTGGCCGCAGGTAGGGTGGCGGGCGGGCCGCAGATAGGGCGGCGGTAGGGCCGCAAGTAGGGCGGCGGGCGGGCCGCAGGTAGGGCAGCGGGCGGGCCGCGACGTGAGGGCGGCGGGGCCGCTGTAGTGGGGCGGCGGGGCCGCTTAGCAGAGGGCGGCGGGGCCGCGTGAGCAGGGCGGCGGGGCCGCGAAGCAGAGGGCGGCTGGGCCGCGCGAGCAGGGCGGCGGGGCCGCGAAGGAAGGGCGGCAGGGCCGCGTTAGTAGGGCGGCGAGGCCGCGAAGGAAGGGCGGCAGGGCCGCGTGAGCAGAGTGGCGGGGCCGCGAAGGGAGGGCGGCGAGGCCGCGAGGGGCGACACGGAGGGTCGCTAAAAAAAAAGGAAAACGCGCCTCGGGGCGCGCTTCGGTGGGCCCTAGAAGCAGTCCCTAGGAGGGGACCTGCTCTGATTCCATGTGAAATGAAGAACGAGAATGTTTGAACTATGAATGAAGTGAGTACATATGGGAAACCCTAATTGGGTTGTACCCCTTATGGGATACCCCACTATAGCCTACACAACAGCATAAGCTATATAATGTTCTGACAGGAGAAGCATGAGATGGAAGCAAACGTGCGACAGCTTCATCAATTCCCCGTTCTGCGTCCGGCCTGCGGCGGGCAGCAGGGATGCGGTTTTGGCAGAGAGGCTGGTGTTCAACAAAGCATCTTTATTACGAACCCCAGTCGGCGGGCAGAAGGATAGCGAGAATCTCTGGAATATTCGTGTCGGGGAGCTGCTGGAAGATATCGGTGGAGAGTTGGTGCTAAAGCAGCAGAGGGAGCTCTCACAGCAGCTTGGCGGCAGCGGCCCGGCTAGGCTTGCGGTGAAGGCGCTGATCACTATGCCAGCGGAGTGGTTGCAACTGCTAGGGTTTCCTTCGGTACCCCCCTGATCGGCTGCTTGTGTTCCCCCGCTGAACATTCTCGAAGGAGGAGCGGTGGTCTCAGTCAGGAGGATGAAGGAGTGCTGGAAAACGGCCTACCAAGAGTCACGCAAGAGGGAGAAGTGGGCCAGAAGGTGGGGAAGGCACATCAACTGGAGACGGGTGGTGACAACACGTGACTCGCTGGCAGTTCCCAGCCGTCCACGTGACGTCCTTCTCCGAATCCACGGTCTAAATTTGCAAGTGGGGGAGCGTCTTGCCTTCCTCAGCGGGCAACTGTCCTGCCCCTACTGCGGTGGGGAGGAGACACTGGACCACTGTCTCCTCCTCTGCCCTCGGATTCAGGCAGTCACCTCGGCTCTCATGCAGGCTCTGCGCATCCTTAACCCCAACCGTCCCACTGCCACGCTCGGTGACCTGCTGTTCCGGAAAACGGGGTCCAGCTCAGCTTTTCCGGAGCTGACGCTCACGTCCATCGTTTTTCATCAGCTGTGGGTTGAAAGGTGCGAGGCAGTCTTCCGAGGCCAGAAGTTTCGCACGAACCGGGTACTTCACAAGATCGAATTCGCTTTCAGGCAGCATGCACGCATCTACACCCGCAAGTTTGGCGCGACTCATCACAAACGACACAAGAGGAACTATGCTGAGGAGCAGAACATGTTGGGGAAGATCAAATTGGCTGGCAAAAGCTGGAAGTGGACAAGTGCGTTTGCCGCACTGTGGTCCAAGCGGAGGGCAAGTATCTCCCGCCCTTAGATTGTTGTCCCACCTGGAACAGTAGCTCACCCTCTGTTCCTCACGCGCGGTTACGACCGTTATGGGGTATATGCTTGCTCACTCGGTGTATACTTTCATATAATAATAATAAAAAAAAAAACAAGAGGCGACGAAATCGTCTTAGGGTTGCGGAGCATTTTGGATTGATAAAAATTTCTTTACTGTTTACTAAGATATGTACCATATTAGGTATTAATATTGTACCCATAGAATTTCTACGGTAAGAAAAATTTCTTTAAACCTCCGTAAAGCAAGTGTTGTGCCTTAAAAAAATGCGTACACTCAGTATGTTAGCACTACAAATTAAAACAACATTCAGTTTTTTATGATGCCAATATATACAAAATGGTGTAGGAGAAATTTCTGCTCTAAACTCATTGACGGACAAAGTATCCAACTCGAGTAACGCGCACACCGCGAATCGAACTCCGTACCTTACCCTCATGAGACTCCTCGAAGACAGCTGTGCTAAACAGATACAATTTAGTGTTCCGTTGTTAAATAAGGACCGCTAAAATTGCGACAGAGTTGTTAACTTCCTAGGGTTTCGTTTTTTCCTTTTGTTCACTCGTGTCTTCCCACAAGAGCTCTTTTTCTTCCCGCTGCTGCTCCTGGTGTCCTCCCGCAACTCAGCTTCGTAGGTGAGCCGTTTAATTACTAGAGTAGTATTAGTTCTTTAACTTAGAGGAAGATATATAGATCTTGGTGAAACCACCTCGTGGCTAGTCGTTTTCTCATGTTTGAGCCGAAGTTTCATATATGATTTCTCTATAGTTTGTAGATTTCAGGACGAAATGTTAGTCTCTCTCCCTTGTCCTTCTCTCCCGCTTCCATCTCTTTCTGTCGTCCGTTTGCCTCTCTCCTTTACTCTCTGTCGAAATAAGACAATCTAGCTTAGGGTTTGTGTTCCTCTCTTTCGAATTGTTGCAGCCCGATTTGATACATACACAATTTTTTTACGAAACCGTAGTTTATTGAACTCTCTCTTTATCTCTCATTCGTTCTCTCGTTCGTTCTCTCTCGTTCTCTCTCTCTTGTTCTCTCTCTCTCTCTCTCTCTCTCTCTCTCTCTCTCTCTCTCTCTCTCTCTCTCTCTCTCTCTCTCTCTCTCTCTCTCTCGTTCTCCCTCTCGTTCTCTCTCTCTCTCTCGTTCTCTCTCTCTCTCGTTCTCTCTCTCGTTCTCTCGCTCTCGTTCTCTCTCTCGTTCTCTCTCTCGTTCTCTCGCTCTCGTTCTCTCTCTCGTTCTCTCTCTCTCGTTCCCTCTCTTGTTCCCTCACTCTCGTTCCCTCACTCTCGTTCCCTCTCTCTCGTTCCCTCTCTCGTTCCCTCTCTCGTTCCCTCTCTCTCGTTCCCTCTCTCTCGTTCTCTCTCTCTCGTTCTCTCGATCTCCCTCTCTCGTTCTCTCTCTCTCGTTCTCTCTCTCTCGTTCTCTCTCTCTCGTTCTCTCTCTCTCGTTCTCTCTCTCTCTCTCTCTCTCTCTCTCTCTCTCTCTCTCTCTCTCTCTCTCTCTCTCTCTCTCGTTCTCTCTCTCTCTCTCTCTCTCTCTCTCTCTCTCTCTCTCTCTCTCTCTCTCTCTCTCTCTCTCTCTCGTTCTCTCTCTCTCGTTCCCTCTCTCGTTCCCTCTCTCGTTCTAGGATTTTCTCTGTCTTGATGTTTCAATGATGTTTTACAGCCATTCTCTGCATTCTCTCCTGAACTTCAAGTCTTAAAATTACATCTTTTTTTTTTGCATTCGATTTTTTTTTTTTTTTTTTTTTTTTTTTTGTTATCGCAGATACTGGTTTTCAGGCAGGATGGGATGGAAGGAAGGTAGTGTCTCGTACAATTTACAGTGCATTTAAAATAGTTATTTTCATTATGAGTAATTGTTTATTTTGTTTCATTTCTGTTTCTATTATGCTTCTTCTCGTTGCAATCGTAATGCATGTCTGCATGTTTCAAAAATGTATCTTGCCGATCATCGTCACAAAATGTTGAGTGGCCCACCACTATGACAGTGAAGCCATTTTCAGCTGGACTTTATCGGTGTAGACATTTTTTTGGGATATGCAGATTGTATTGCGCTGTCATGATTATTGTTTATACCGCTGACTTCCCCCCCATGCTAGGCTGGGGAAGCGGTAGTATAATTTTTGTATTCGTTAGCTACAAAATGTTTGTTTGTTCAAACCATGAGACATATTCATCAATTCATTTGATGAATATGCTCACGTCACGTCTCGTGCATACTAGGTGGTATACACAAAAGGAGAAATTCAATGATCATTTGGTTGGTTGGTCATTGAATTTTGCTAATACCGTAATTTTCAGAGTTCGCAGTCTTGCAAAATATATCTATATAAATGACTGATTTACAACATAAAGATATGACTTAAAATCAATGTTAGGGTCCTACAAGTATAGCATATATTTTACGATTATTAAACTTATCCAGAGTTTTCTTCTATTTTTCCGATTTTTTCTTGGATAAAAAAAAAAATTTGCGAAAAAAAAAGTAGTCCCCGTCGATTGCAATAGGTTGCTCCGCAACCCAAAAAAAAAAAAACGGGATTCATACCTATTTTCGGAGATTAGTTTCTCGATCTCCTCAGTCTCCTCGATTCCCGGTGACCGCCATATTTCCGAAAGCGTTCCGCGAAGGGCCTTGAAGCGAGGTTAGTACGTCTGAGACTGAGGTGTTTTTAATGTTGCTGCTCTTATCAGCGCGATTCTTGCACCCCGATCTGAATCCGAGACGGTTCTAGCGTTGTCCTGTTGCGCGATTTCCGGGTGAGAGTATATATCAATTGGATCACTCAAACGACGATGAAGCGAGCGTCGAGATTCCATTTCTTAGCTGCCTGAATTCGCGTCGATAGCCTTACCTTACCACGACTCATCTGCAAGTTTTCGCTGGTTTCCTGAGTCTCGCTTAGAATCGGCGCGAATCAGGAAAAATTCGGTAGCTTAGTTTGGTTAGGTTTGATTTGATTCGGTCGTTAGATCTTGGAGAAGTTAGTTTCGTCCTTGGAATTCTGAATCTCCGCAGTGTTCTTGTATCGAATACTGATCGCCTGTAGCTTGCCTCTGATTTTTGCCTGCTTGCAGTGTGCTTGTAGCGGATCCTCCTTTATCGCCGCCATGAGTCGCGGCTCGGGAGCAGGGTACGACCGTCACATCACCATCTTCTCGCCCGAAGGCCGCCTCTATCAAGTTGGTTCGTCTCTTATCACGCCATTGACTCTTTCTCTCCCTCACTTACTTATCACCATCTTCTCGCCCGAAGGTCGCCTCTACCAAGTTGGTTCGTCGCTTTTCACGCCCTTGACTCCCCGATGCACACTCCCTCCTTTTCCCCCGTCTCCCTCCCGCCATTCCTCTCTCGCTCCCTCCCTTCTTCCCTCACTCACATCACCATCTTCTCGCCCGAAGGCCGCCTCTACCAAGTTGGTTCGTTTCTTTCATGCTCTTGACTCCGTAATTCCCTCTTTTTCCAACCTTCCCTCTCCTTCTCCCGCTCTCCCTGTCTCTCGCTCCTTCCCTCCCGCACTCACTTATCACCAACTTCGCCCGAACTCCACCTCTACCAAGTTGCCGCGTCACTTTTCACGCCCTCAACTACTCGATTCCCTATCTCATAATCCCTTCCTCCCTCCCTCCCTCCCTCCCTCCCTCCGTCCCTCTGTCCCACTTCGCCTCGCCCCTTCACCCTCCATCTCATCATTTTCCCTCCTCCGCTCCTTCGTAAATGCCTTCAAGACATATTTCTCCATCATGAATGACCCTCCCCCTTCTCTTTCCCTCCTCCCCTATTCCCCATCCATTTCACCAGAATATGCTTTCAAGGCTGTCAAGTCTGTTGGAGTGACCTCCATTGCGGTTCGAGGCAAGGATTCAGTGTGCTTCGTGACTCAAAAGAAGGTCCCTGTGAGTTCTTTTGTTCCTTTTCCACTCACTACTCGGTTCTCTGTGTGATTTTAACCAAACCAAGAAGGATCTGGTGTGCTTTGTGACTTAAAAGAAGGTCCCTGTGAGTGCCCGTTTCCTCCTCTCTCGCTCACCGCTCACCTTTTTTGCGTTATCACAACCAAACCAATCAGGAGGAACTCCATCTGCATCGTGAACGCGACTGTTCTACCAATCAGTTACACCCACCGCCCCTACCTGTCTTCCCGTCCTCTCATCAGGACAACCTGACAGACAAGAGAAGCGTAAAAAATGTGTTGCTTTCATTCCACGACGCTCTCCCTCTCCTGTTCCACCTCCTGCCTCCCCACCCACCTGTGTTCCGTGCTCCCGCTCTGTATCAGGACAAGCTGACAGACGAGACCAGCGTCACGAACCTGTACCCAGTCACCAAGGGCATTGGCATGCTGGCGACAGGCCTCACAGGTGCGTGTGAGGTGGGTGGGAGGTGGGTCGCAGGTGGGTGGGAGGTGGGTCACAGGTGGGTGGGAGGTGGGTCACAAAGGTGGGTCAGAGCCATCACGAACCTGTATCCGGTCACCAAGGGCATTGACATGCTGGCAACAGGCCTCACAGGTGCGTGGGAGAGTTGATGTCATCAGTCAAGCACTGGTCAATCACATCACACCAGGCTTAGCACTCTTGTTTTCAATCTCCTTCCCTGGCCGGCTGCTCTTCCTCTCCGATCTTCTCTCCCTCCATGCCACATCCCGTTTCCTAGCACTCTTGTTTGAGCGAGGCTCGCACAACCCTCAACGCGCAAGCTCTCCAGGCGCCTGAGAGCCGTAATGGCCTCGGGAATCTCTGCACTTCGCTGCAATAGCTGATGCAAAGCCCTTAAGCTTCGTTAGCTCGCTAATTCCCTCAGGGATCTCCAATAACTTGCACTCTTTCGATTGCTCAACCCTAATTCGCAAATCCTTACACCCCCTCCCACTTCTCCCTTCTTTCTATTCCCTCCCGTCTTCCTCTAGCCGACGCGAGATCGCTGGTGCTGAGGGCCCGCCACGAGGCGGCAGAGTTCCGATTCAAGCTGGGATATGACGTGCCTGTGGACTACCTGGCGAGAAGGTGAGATTGTAGAAGGCACTTCGCGTGTGTTCAAGCTGGGGTACGACGTGCCTGTGGACTACCTGGCGAGAAGGTGAGATTGTAGAAGGCACTTCGCGTGTGTTCAAGCTGGGGTACGACGTGCCTGTGGACTACCTGGCGAGAAGTTGAGGCGTGGTGAGGGATGCTCAGTGGTACCGTGTGGTGCTGTGTGGTGTTGGTTTGGATTGGGAGGGAAGGCACTGAACTATGAGCCACAAGGCTGCAGAGTTCCGGTTCAAGCTGGGATACGACGTGCCTGTGGACTAACTCGCTAGAAGGTGTGTTGAGGGGTGCTCAGTGGTGCTGTGTGGTGCTGTGCGGAGTTGATCTGTTTTATCATGTTTCATGAGGCTGCAGAGTGTTGGTTCAAGCTGGGCTACGACGTGCCTGTGGACTACCTGGCGAGAAGGTAAGGCGGGGTGAGGGGTGCTCAGTGGTACTGTGCGGTGTTGGGTTGCGTGGCCAGCTTGTGCTGGAACTGAGGAGCATGAGCCACGAGGCGGCAGAGTTTCGGTTCAAGCTGGGGTATGACGTGCTTGTGGTGTGGACTACCTGGCGAGAAGGTGAGCGGTGCTCAGTGGTAATGTGCGGTGTTGATGTGTGGTAGAAGGCACCTTGTGAGGGTTCAAGCTGGGGTATGGCGTGCCTGTGGACTACCTCGCTAGAAGGTACTGTTATGAGTGGTGAGGGGTTCTTAGCGGTACTGTGTGGTGTTGTGGTGGGTTAGGCGGTATGATGTGCCTGTGGACTATTTCGGGAGAAGATACTGTATGCATGGGATGAATAGCGCTGTGTGTGGGTTACGGTGACAAGTGGGGTGGGACGCACGGCTAAGTAACCATGCTGCTGTGAATTGCCGCTGTGAGCTGAAGCGTTTCACATGAAGCATGGCATGATATGCGTTTTCTCGTTTATTGTCGTCTTACCTTACAGTTTCATGTGAGCAATTTTTGAAGAAGTTCAAATGCACTTCTCGTTGTTTGCCATCTTTCCTTGTCATTGTGTACTTGCTTGTGGCCCGTTGCCGTCCCCTCCCTTTCTCATTCCCCCCTCTCTCCCCCACTTCCTCTCTTCGCCACTTCCTCTCTTCGCCACTTCCTCTCTTCTCCACTTCCTCTTTTCTCCACGTCCTCTCTTCTCCACTTCCTCTCTCCCCCACTTCCTCTCTTCTCCACGTCCTCTCTTCGCCACTTCCTCTCTTCGCCACTTTCTCGCTTCGCCACTTCTTCTCTTCGCCACTTCCTCTCTTCGCCACTTCCTCTCTTCTCCACGTCCTCTCGTCGCCACTCCTCTCTTCGCCACGTCCTCTCTTCGCCACGTCCTCTCTTCGCCACTTCCTCTCTTCGCCACTTCCTCTCTTCGCCACTTCCTCTCTCCGCCACTTCCTCTTGGCCCTGTTTGTGTTGACTACTACCTCTTCCTTGGCAGATTGGCGGACATGGCTCAGGTGTACACGCAGCAGGCGTACATGCGACCTCTTGGCGTGGGTGAGTATGCGCGTGCGTAGGGGGTGTGAGTGATGAGTGTGTGATTGAGCATGGTGAGTCGTTCAGGTGTACAAGCAGCAGGCAAACATGTGAGTGAGTGCTCGTGTGCGAGTGAGCGGGGGGGTGAGTGATTGAGTGAGAGAATTGGCTCGTGTGTGAACGAGTGTGCTAATATTTGCGTGAGTGAGCGGGTGAGTGGGATGGGTGGCCCAGGTGTACACACAGCAGGCATACATGCGACCGCTGGTCGTGGGTGAGTGTGCCTGTGTGTGAGTGAGCGAGTGAGTGGGTGGGTGAGTTAGCAGGTGAGTGGGTTAGTGGGTGGCCCAGGTGTACACACAGCAGGCATACATGCGACCGCTGATTGTAGGTGAGTGTGCTCTTGTGTGAGTGAGCGAGTGAGTGGGTGGGTGAGTTAGCACATGCCATCTCGCACACATGCCATCTCGCACACATGCCATCTCGCACACATGCCATCTCGCACACATGCCATCTCGCACACATGCCATCTCGCACACATGCCATCTCGCACACATGCCATCTCGCACACATGCCATCTCGCACACATGCCATCTCACACACATGCCATGTCACGCACATGCCATGTCACGCACATGCCATGCCACGCACATGCAATGTCACGCACATGCAATGTCACGCACATGCCATGTCACACACATGCAATGTCACGCACATGCCATGTCACGCACATGCAATGTCACGCACATGCCATGTCACGCACATGCCATGTCACGCACATGCCATGTCATTGCCGCTCTCCATATGCTTTCTAACCCCTGCTGCCAGCCACCATGCTGATCAGCATTGACGATGAGTTTAACGGTTTAACCCCATGCTGTGCAAGTACGAAACAGCAAATTTCCAAAAACCCCTTTGGCTTCTCTTCATTAATTGCCCCTTCCACCCATCACAGCCACCATGCGGATCGCCATTGACGATGAGTTCCGCCCCATGCTGTACAAGTGCCACCCTTCCCAGTTCCCAGTAACCCCCTTTGCCTTCTCCCTGATACCCGCTTCAAATTCCTCTTCCCCAATACCCCCTCCACCCAATCACAGCCACCATGCGGATCGGAATTCACGATGAGTTCGTCCCCATGCCGTACAAGTGCGACTCCGCCCATTTCCCAATAACCCTGAACCTTCTTCCTGATATCCGCTCCAAATTCCACTTCCTCAATACCCCTCCCCCCCTCTAACAGCCACCACGCTGATCGGCATTGATGATGAGTTTGGCCCCATGCTGTGCAAGTGCCACCCTTTCCAGTTCCCAGTAAACCCCTTTGCCTTCTCCTCAAAACGCCCCCACCCCATCACAGCCACCATGCGGATCGCCGATCCGCATTGACGATGAGTTTGGTCCCATGCTCTACAAGTTTCACTCCCCTTCAACTCCCCCCAAACCCCCACCCCCACCCCACCCCCCCTTCCCAATCACAGCCACCATTGACGATGAGTTTGGTTTGGCCCCATGCTCTACAAGTGCGACCCAGCTTATTGTTTCAGCATCTTCCCTCTAATGTTACCACCGCCACCCTCCCCTCCAACCCTCCCTCCTGCCACACAGCCACCATGCTGATTGGCATTGATGACGAGTTTGGACCCATGCTGTACAAGTGCGATCCAGCTGATTTCTTTAACCTCTCCCTGATTTTACCACCCTCACCTCACCCTCCCCGTTATCCCGCTCTCCCTCTGCCAGCCACCATGCTGATCGGCATTGATGACGAGTTTGGCCCCATGCTGTACAAGTGTGATCCAGCTGGCTACTACGTTGGTTACAAGGTGCGTGGTTACCACGTTACCAGGTAGCACGGTGTGTTTGGGTCCCACTGAGTTTGGTCCCCATGCTGTACAAGTGCGATCCAGCTGGTTACTACGTCGGTTACAAGGTGCGTGTGGTTACCACGTTACAAGAAATGTGTGTACGGTGGGTACAGGGTGCGTGCGGTTACCAAGTTACAAGATGTGTGTATATGGTTGAGATGAACGTTTATATGCACCTGTGTCCCTGTGCGTGTGCGTGTGCGTGTGCGTGTGCATGTCCATGTGAGTGTCCATGTGAGTGTGCGTGTGCGTGTGCGTGTGAGTGTGCGTGTACGTGTGCGTGTACGTGTGCGTGTACGTGTGCGTGTGCGCACAGTTGTGTCCATCTCTGCAGTTTTTGAAACACCTCGTTACTTTCTCCACTCCCACCCCCATCCCGTCCTCCTCTTCCATTTCCTCACATAATAAGAGCAGGAGCCACGGAGCAGGAGGCAGTAGATGTGATGGCATAAGTAATTCTTCACCTATGATTACCGCATTGTATCTCTCCGCATCTCACCAGGCCACCGGAGCGGGAGCCAAGGAGCAGGAGGTGATAGATGTGATGGCATGAATGGTTCATTCACCTATGATTACCGCATTGCATTGCACTGCATCGCCCCAGGCCACAGGAGCGGGAGCCAAGGAGCAGGAGGCGATAAACTTCCTGGAGAAGAAGCTGAAGGATGGGAAGCACCAGAACCTGACATCAGACGAGGCAGTGCAGGTGAGCGCAGAACCCCGCAGTACCGCACTGTACCACATCTCACCACGTCACACTGCATTTCAGGGCACAGCATTTCACCGCCACCCTGTGGTGCCCATAATCTTCTTGGAGAAGAAGCTGAAGGATGGGAAGCACCAGAGCCTGACATCAGACGAGGCAGTGCAGGTGAGCGCAGTACCGCACTCTACCTCATCATACCTCGTCTCACTGCATTTCACCGCACAGCATTCACTTCTCCCTGTGGCACGAATAAGCTCTTCAGAGAAGAAGCTCAAGGATGGGAAGCACCAGAACCTGACATCAGATGAGACAGTGCAGGTGAGCGCAGAACCCTTCTGCACCGCACTCTACCGCATCTCGTCACGTCTCATCGCATTTCACCGCACAGCATCTCTCTTCACCCTGTGGCACCAATAAGCCCTCTGGAGAAGAAGCTGAAGGATGGGAAGCACCAGAACCTGACATCAGACGAGGGTGAGTAAGAGCAGCACCCCATCGAACCGCATCTCACCGCACAGCATCTCAATCCATCCTGTGGCGCCAATAAGTTTGGAGAACGAGCTCAAGGCCGGGAAGCACCAGAACCTGACAGCAGACGAGGCAGTACATGCAGGGATGCATGCATGCAGTAGCACCGTATCTGACCGCATCTCACCGTGTTTTCTCTCTGTTTCTATCTGCTTATCCTCCCTCGCCCCCGCTCGCCTCCCACCCTCTCCCCCTTCGCTCCACTCTCGTCCCACTCGTTCCCTCAGCTGGCCATCTCTGCGCTGCAAGGCGTGCTGTCGGAAGACAAGTTCCAGCCTCATCCACTTATTCCCCTCCCCCCCCCCCCCCTCCCCCCCCCTCCCACCTCAGCTGGCAATCTCAGCGCTGCAAGGCGTGCTGTCGGAAGACATGAAGGCAACAGAGTTCGAGGTGAGGAGGGGGTGACGGTGGGGATGGAGGGGAGGACATTCTCTTAATCAGCAGCATCTCACAGACCCATATCTGAGCAACACAGCACACCTCAGCTGGCCATCTCTGCGCTGCAAGGCGTGCTGTCAGAAGACATGAAGGCAACAGAGATCGAGGTGAGGAGGGGGTGACGGTGGGGATGGAGGGGAGGACATTCTCTTAATCGGCAGCATCTCACAGACCCATATCTGAGCAACATAGCACACCTCAGCTGGCCATCTCTGCGCTGCAAGGCGTGCTGTCAGAAGACATGAAGGCAACAGAGATCGAGGTGAGGAGGGGGTGACGGTGGGGATGGAGGGGAGGACATTCTCTTAATCGGCAGCATCTCACAGACCCATATCTGAGCAACATAGCACACCTCAGCTGGCCATCTCTGCGCTGCAAGGCGTGCTGTCAGAAGACATGAAGGCTACAGAGATCGAGGTGAGGAGGGGTGACAATGGGTGCAGAGGTAAGACAGGAAGGTTGGGTGCAGTGACTGTCAGTCATAGTAAGCAGAGCATCAGCAGCGTCTCATCTCAGCGCTGCAAGGCGTGCTGTCAGAAGACATGAAGGCTACAGAGATCGAGGTCAGATGGGGTGACGATGGGTGATGATGGGTGATGATGGGTGCAGTGGTGAGGCAGGGTGAGAGGTTAGGAGTAGTGGCTGTTTTCTCATCAGCTGGGCATCAGTAGCATCTCATCTCAGCGCTGCAAGGCGTGCTGTCAGAAGACATGAAGGCTACAGAGATCGAGGTGAGGGGGGGGGTGGGGGGTGGGGGGGTGGCTGGGGGCTGGGGGTAGTGGCTGAGTGGCATCCTGAGAACATTCTGAGCTGGCCATCTCAGCGCTGCAAGGCGTGCTGTCGGAAGACATGAAGGCAACAGAATTTGAAGTGAGTCGGGGAGAGGCCCTGTGTGTGGTGGCTGGGGGTAGTGGCTGGGTGGCATTCTGCAAACATTCCTTCAATCAGCAGCACACCACAAACTGACTTATTCCTCAGAAGCTGATCAGCCCAGCGCTGCAAGGCGTGCCATCAGAAGACATGAAGGTGACAGACAATGGAGGTGAGGGTGGGGGAGGGGGTGAGGGAATTGAGGTGAGGGGGGTGTGAGCGCATCTCAGCCCAGCGCTGCAAGGCGTGCCATCAGAAGACATGAAGGTGACAGACAATCGAGGTGAGGGGAGGGTGGTGTGGAGATGGAGGTGAGGGAGAGTGAATGAAATTGCCTTTTTTCTACCCTCTGAGCCTCTCGTGCATGCGCTACTTTCCTGTACACTTTTGTGCAGGTGGGGTTGGTGGAGGCCAAGGAAGAGACGGCCTTCAGAACGCTCTCTGTGGATGAGATTGAAGCGCATCTGACGGCCATTAGTGAACGCGACTAAACGAGATGGAACATCTGATAGTGTTAGCTAGTATGCCTAAATGTGAGTGAGGCCCATCTGACTGCTATTTGTGAATGTGACTTCATGAGATTGAAATCCGTCTGAAGGGCTTCTTTCTATGTCGGATGAAGCACATAGTTATCGACATCATGCTCAGAAAATACACTCACAAGATAGCATCATGATGTTTGTGTGTTTTTCAGGGAAAACAAAGTTATTAGAGGGCGTCTCAGATGTCTGAGTCCATGTGGGTACGGCTCGGACCTGACGGACCAGCTCAAGAACCAGCGCGTGAACCAGGGCGGACCGGGACCAGGACGTGGGGCTTGTAACCCCGTTATACCGTTCGAATGGCACTAAAACGGTGCCATTTATTTGGCCCTCTGGACCAGTCCGCGCCTGGTCCGTAAACAGTGGTGAGGAAACATTTGTTTTGGCGAAATTTCTTGTTTTGTAAGTTTCGCGTGAGATTTTTGTGCACACGAAGAAAATGGGTAACTCAATTTCAAATTCGTCGCTACTGCTGCATCTCGCAAATACTGTGCAGCCCGAAGCGCGACGCATCAGACAGACCAGTCCGTGTCTGGTCCAACGCTGGTCCGCCAAGTGGGTCCGTCGGACCAGAACCCCGGACCAGGCGTATAGATTTTGGTCGCGGACCAGATCCAGCGGACCCTTCACATGAGACACGTCCTTAGAGCACATGATACCGTATCACCCCGGATATAAGCGCAGGCCTATGTTAAGCGCATGCGCTTACCGTCATCGCCCGGGTAGAAGACAGTGTCGAATTGAAGACAGGGGGTGTCTTTAATACGGGTGTTTCTTATAGTTGGGTGCTTCCGATTATAAGCCACCTACAAGCGTGTACGACTTAAGACAGTGCCTACTAAACAGTGCTAGGGCTTAGGGTTTCCTTATAAAGGGGGTGGGTGTCTTATAATCGGTTCTTGCATTCAGGGGTGGGGGGGTACATGCATGCATTTATCCAATCTTACTATTTCTACCTAGCCCCCCTCGGTTACGCCCTCCTCATCTGCACTAGCAGATGCTGGCTCCTGCATCCCCAAGTCTGGCACTCGCCAGGCGTGCCTGGCTGTCTGCACGGGCTCGATCATGCGGTCAGCCTCGGCCGCCGCTCCCCGGTAGTGAGGGGTCTCCTGGTACAGCACCTCCAGGCCGGTGGCCACGGCCACCTCCCTCACGCCCTCCGCCTGCATCTCCTCCTCCTCCTCCTCCTCCTCCTCCTCCTCCTCCTCCTCCTCCTCCTCCTCCTCCTCCTCCTCCTCCTCCTCCTCCTCCTCCTCCTCCTCCTCCTCCTCCTCCTCCTCCTCGGGAGCCTTCCCAAGCAGGCGCGTGTTGTCGCCCGTGGCGCCCCCGAGGCACATGTCTTCGGTGACATCGGTGGTGCTCCTCGCGCGCAGGTGGGACATCACCAAATGGTTCTCGGTCCCATCCAGCTTGCTTGAGATGCCGCAGTGGCGGAACGCGTCAATGATCACCTGCCTAGGGACTTGATCCCACGCCTCCGCTATCCACTGCAGCACCACGGGATGCGGGGGTCTCCTCAGGTTCCCTGCGGGTGGGTCACATGCAGGGCAAGCGTACTGTCAGATACCGTACATCAAGAGCTACACTGGCAGGCATTTATTGATCACCGACAGGGGACTCACCGTGCTTCGTCTTCAGGTAAAGGCCTTCACGCATGAACCACCTAGCGTAGCGAGCTCGCACCCCGGCCTTGAAACACCGGTTGATGGAAACGTCAAGTGGTTGAATTTGACTGGTGCAACCTGCAGGGATTACAGCGGGAGTGATGCTGTGCGTGCGATAGGCGCGAAGCATGCCCTGGGTGATGTGGCCGCGGTACGAATCCAGAACCAGCATCGCACGCCGTGCGCACTGGCCGCGCTGGGGGTTGAGATGAGGCAGCACCTCCTTCGTCAGCCAAGTCTGCACAGCGGTCTCGTCCATCCAACCGTTGTCCTGTGCTTGGACCACCACTCCTGCCAGGCACATAGGGAGATAGGGGAGTGAGCCAAACAGGGCCACGGTGGTCTCCCTAAACCCAAATTCGTTTAGCTCACCAGCGGGGACGTCACACTTCGGCACGTTCTTCATTTTGAACCAAACCCACGGCCGCAACTTCTCCCCGGATGCCGTGCACGCGAGCATCACTGTCAGCCGTGTCTTCTCGTAGCCAGCCGTGCGGATCGGGACCGAGCGCGCACCACGGTGGTCAAGGGTCCTCTCGGCCGGCATTTCAACGAAGAGGGGCGTTTGATCCGCATTGATGATGCGGCTTAGGTCGATGTTGTGCCGCGCCCTGTTGATCCTGACGAACTTCCAAAAAGACTCGCAGTCTTTTGCGCATTCTGCCAAGGCAAAAGAACACACACAAGGATGGGATGAGTCGGGATATGCAAGTTTATATCGCGGTAAGCACAGGGAGTTGACAATGCGCAGTGAATTCACAGCCTAGAACCACTCACCAGCCGACAACCGCTGGCCAACCTTTGTCTTCACCCGCATGACGAGATTCCAGCGGTCGCGGAAAAGTTGGCTCCAGTGGGAGCTCGCGTTCCAGTTCTTCCCGGGGTGGTGCTTCTTCATCCACTCGCGGCTCCACTTCTGCGTGTCCTTGACCGAGATCGCCACCCCATTCGCGCGATGCAGGCAGATGTAGCGGTACAGCGCCGCCTCCATGTCGGGGTGGTGTGAGTGGCGGCCCGCCCCATGCATGCGCTTGCGAGAATTCGCAGCGCCCTTGTACATGCCCGCTGCAGCCTGCGCGCTCCAGCGTCTGATGCACGCGATGCTCGCCGAAGACTCGGCCGAGGTCTTCTTGAGGGAGCCGAGCTCCGCGTAGCGACGCGCCCACTTCACCTTTTCGCGCACGGACCAGCTCCGCCTGGTCCTCTTAATCCCGCGACTGCGTGGGGAAGGGGGGCGGGAGTTAGCATTACGGATGGTGGGGTCTTTTGGCTTCGCCTTCTCAGGGAATGAAGGCATGGGGTCTGCAGCCTCCGCGTAGTCGTCGTCACTGCCCTGCGCCTCGTTGACCAGGATGTCGTCTTTGTTTCTGACAGCCTTCTTCTTCTGCCTCTTCGCGCCTTTGCTTGAACCCGGGTCGCCATCGTCCTTCCGCTTCTTCTTGCTCTGGCTGACGTGAGGGGCGACCTTTGCAGGAACCTCCACCACCTTAGCCTTCCCCTTGTCAGCAGCAGGGACGCGGGGTCGCCGCTCCTCATCCGGGCTGTCGTCGTCCGAGAGCACCACCCGGGTTTTTTTCCGGGACACGCCTAGGCGGTGAAGCAGCCGCCTCTTCAACAGAGGCACGTCGTCATCTGACGAGACGCGCCATGGGTCGTCCGCGTCGTCCTCGCCTTCGAAGAAGACAGCATCACGGCCATCACCCACCTCCGCCACCACAACAGCAGCCGTATCTGCGCCGGTTTCGGCATCCGCATCTGCATCCACCTCCGCATCCGATCCCGCTTCGTCGTCTGCCTCCGCCTCCGCATCCGCATGCGCTGGTGCATCCGCATCCGCAACCGAATCACGCATCGCTCCCGCGGGCACATCCGCAGCCGCCGCCGCCTGAGCTTCTACCGTCGCATCCGCCGCCGCATCAGCAACCGCATCCGCGCCTCCGTCGTCGTCATCGTCGCCGGCGCGCCACTCCTCCACATCGTCGCCGGAGCCTATCGGCTGCATCCACCAGTCGTCATCGTCGATGCCTCCGGCAGGCACCTCGTCACCAGATTCGCTGTCGTCGTGGCCGTTTTCCGGCCAGTCCTCTTCGTCCTCGTCGCCATGGTCTTCGTCGCCAGCGTCTTCGTCGCCCTCTTCCTCGTCACAACTTGCGCCAGAGCCGGCGTTGGAGCACCCCGCCGGTTGGCGCTTCTCTTTCGCCATGTCTACCCGGATGTCGTCACCGGGCGAGTTGATGCGCCCATAGTTGGTAACCTGGAATTTAGGGAGAGGAGACGGCGCGCTTGCAGGGTGCTTACTACGCATGATAGAGCCTGCTTAGAGCTAAGGTTGAGCCACTTTCTAGTTTCATGAGCTAAAAATGAAGCTCAACCTCGACTACCCCCCATTCCAGAGTGCCCCCTCCCTTGGAAGACGAGCCGCTCCTCTACGGCAAATTTGCTCGTAGAGGACAGCTCAGGATGGCAGGATGCTGCCATCGTGCTGCTGGCAGCGTTCTAGAAGGCTCTGTTCCCTGCTGGCAGCAAAACGACACTGGAAGCATCATGAGATGCTGCCAGCAGGGCGGGATTCTGCCAGCACAAGCAGCATTGATGCTTCTCATCACGTGGCACGAGGTGGCGGCGCATGAATCGCATCAAAATGTGGCTGTATTCAATGAATCCGCCCCGTGGGTGGTTTCTACAGTCTTCCCGAATGTTACATGGTTCTTATATATTTTGCCTATTTATAAGAATTATAAGACACCCCAAACCGTCCCAAATATAAGACACAGCAAGCATTTTTTCTAATGTATAAGATAAGACATATATGTCTTCTATCCGGGCGATGACGGTATATCTGGAGCAATGCGCTTATGGCCGATCCTCAATTATAAGCGCACCCCTTATAAAACCCTGATTTATTATAAGCGCATGTATAAACATATTTAAAAAAAATCCGGATTAAAACAGTAACGACTTCCCGTTTTGAAGCGAGTCCACATCCACTTCTACTCTGTTCGACTCCCTCGAGGGCGGGCTCGCTCAGGAAAAGCGCAACGGTGCGAAGTTGACCTGACAGGGGGGCTCGGGAACACCTGTTGTCTGTGCGCTGCGAGCGAGCGACTGCAGGCTATTGGTCGTACACTGGGGCAAGCTTGTGCGATGCGAACGAGCGACTGTAAGCTATTGGTTCGTACACTCTGCTGGGGCGAGCATGACACATTCCTATGCGAAAGTGACGTGTCCTTGCCCTTGTGCGCCGGCAGAGAATTGTCAGACTTATGATCTAGCCTATATAGGCTG